TTTGTTATTTATTATTATTAATTATTTATTTATTTATTTTATGAAACTCTATATAAAGAAACTATCTGTTACAAATGTCTAAAAGAACCCAACACCTCACTGTATGTCTAGCAGATCTAAAACTTTAGAGTATTGAGGAAGCTACTATAGTACAAGAGATCTGGAGCTCTCTAGAAAAAGAAGAACAAAATAAAATAGAAAAACTGTACCTGCTAGAGATATTACTAGGAGTGAACCAAACAGATACCAAAAAAAAAGAGCTGCTAGCAAGAGGAATACTGATATTAGAATACAAAGTCATCCTTAAAAGAAGTGATCTTAAGAAAAAAATGATAAACTTCATATTGTAATCCTGGCTAAACAAATAGATGATACTCTTTCAAGATAAAATATGGAGACAAAGGTGTGACAAAACCTATAAATAGGAAAAAGATATAGAAATAATATCTAAAAGAAAAAAGACTTTGGACCTAAAAAGAAGCCCAGAAAATCTAAAAGAAAAGAAAGAGAAAAGCTATAAAAACCTCCTGAGGGGAGAACTAAAGAGGAAATAGAATGGGAAAAATGTATACTTATAACTATAAAAGAGATAGATAACTGAATTGAGACAGGAAATAGTAGTTGGTAGAACAAAAAATAAAAAGATCATAACAGGCTACAAAACCTAGTTAATGAGTTACCAAATAAGACAAAAATGTCAAATTTGGTAATAAGACAAATTTTACTTTGGCAAGTTGCACATAGATACCTTCGGTAACTGGGTAAGCCATATTTTAATTGAAAGATATCTTGTATCGAAAATAGTATTAGTATTAGTATATGTAACTATTACTCTATTAATAAAATATGACATGATCACCAAAACAAAAAAAAAATTATTTATTTATTTATTATTTCTTATTTGTAAACTATTTAAATTTTACGAAGTAAAATTTTCAAAGGAAGAAGTAAGTATTATATTAGTAGTATATTAGTATTTTTAAATTTTTATTAAGTAACTCCATGTAACTTCTAATTGTAATACAAATCTGGTTTCACAAATAGAATCCTTGATATCAATTTTCTTAATGTAGTTTTTACCATTTGTCAATCAGATTAATAGTTAATAAGTTATTAGAATTTAAAGATATATAACTATAAAAAATAATGAATAACAATCTGTCACCCCTGTAATGCGAGACCTATTAGTACAGACCTGTTGGTATAGACCCATTAATACAGTCCTATTGGTACAGACCTGTTGGTACAGACTTATTAACACAAACCCATTAGTACAGACTAGTGTTTTAAACTATCAACTGAAAGCTCAACTGGGGCTAATCTGGATAGATTTCTGGGTATTCCTAGCTAATTGCTGATGTTTGTTTACATTGGGTAAAATAGAATGTATTAATTCTATTTTATCTGATGTAAACAAATATCAGTGATTGGCTGAAAATACCCAGAAGTCTACCTGAATCAGCCCTGGTTGAACTTTTGATTGACGGTTCAAAATACTAGTATAGATTCATTGGTACAGACCTGCTAGTACAGACCTGTTAGAACAAATACAAACCTGTTGATACAAAATATTATTTGTTCTTACATAGAGTTTTAAAAGATATAAAAACTCTGTCTTTTTGCCCAAGGCAAAAAAGGTTCTGCCAGGTCTTAACTTGTATTTTCTAACTTTTTCCTACTAAATAAATAATATATCTTTGACTATATATCCACTACTATATATATGCCCTTTTTATTATATTTTTTATAGTGATTTATAGTGTTTTTTTTGAGTCTTTCTTGAGTTTTTATCCTATTTTTATTATATTTTCCCAGGTTTTTCTTCCTATTTTCTATACTTTATATCCTATATTCTAAGTTATTTTTGAGTTTATACTCTTTGAGTTTATTCTTTTTGAGTTATATCTAAGTTTTATTTGAGTTTTATCTTTTGTATACACATATCCCTACTCTCTTTATATTAAATTAAGTGGTATAATTAGCATGGCCAGTTATCTATACTACAATATCTAATCAAATTCATTAAACTTTTTTTTTTTAATTTAAAAATCTATAGAATTTAAAAAAAAAAAAAAAAGTGTATAGAATTTGATCAGGTGGATACCAAGATATTTTTAATCAAAGTTTTATAACAATTTACAATGCAGCTTCTACTTGATAGGTATTCAAAATTTACAAAAACATTCAAAATTGCTGTTATGTAGTATGCTTCATCCTGGAAAATAAAATTGCCTTCTTAACAATTACCTAACTAAATTCATCAAACCTTTTTATTTTAATTGTAAAAATTTGTAAAATTTAAAGAAACAAAGTTCATCAAATTTAGTCAAGTAGATGTTGAGCTATCCTCAATCAAAGTTTTACAACTGCAACGCGACTTTTATATAGATGTTAAATTTACAATACTTTGATTAAAGATATCTCAACAACCATCTGATCAAATTCAATGAGCTTTTTTTTTATTTTAATTGTAGAAATCAGTAGAACTAAAAAAAAAAAAGTTTGTCGAGTGTGGTCAGGTAAATGTCGAGATATCTTCGATCAAAATTCGAAAAAATTGTATAAATTAGAATAATTGGCAGGGGTGTGGTATTATCAAAAAAGGGGTGTGGAAATATCAATTTTCTAAATTAATTGCTTAATAAAATACTGTTTTTTTTTCTTTTAAAAGATTGTTTAAAGCCTAAAACAAAAACAAAAAAAAAATAAATACCGCAAAAATACAAGAAATAGGTATCTAAACCTGTTTTAGAGCACTAACAAAAAAATGCTGAAAAGACAATTTTACATAAGCTTTGCTTTAACCTTAACCCTACTCTTTTTTCAGGAGTTTGTATTTGTCACTTCCAAAAAATAAATAGAAGTTAAATTGGGAAAAAAAAAACCCTGCCGCAGTACTATTTACCCAACTACTCCAGCCCCTTAATATCGAACTTAGAACTGTTTATTAAAAGACATGCTACCTACTATACCGCGAGGAAATAATAATTACATGATTTTTATTAAACCAATATAATCAAGTCTATCGTGTAAATACTCTGATTGGTCATATTCGAAGCACCATTACCTGGGTCACTTCACACTACTACATATAAACCCAATAGATATACAAACTGTTTACGTATACATAATAAATTCATATATATATAGTAAAAATAATGATTTTCTATATACGTACGTATCATACGTATACGTAATAAAGTTCTTTTATGTGTGTTTGTTAATGAACGTAGGGACGTGCCCAGATACTAATTTTAATAGATAAAAAAAGGATTTTAGCAAAATAATGCAAAATATTAATGTCTAAGGGCAATTCGATGCCTGGTTTATCTGCAAAACATTTCAAATATTTCCTAACAATAATCTAAAATAGGGTTTATATTTTATACATATTTTGATAGTTTACTAAAAATTCTAATGTTATGCATCAAGAATAATGCGTAATTTGATTGATAATAAGTATTTATAAGCATTTATTGTTAGTTACAGTATATACCTTCTTATACAGTACATAGTATTTAATTAAATCAACTTTTGTACTAGACTATTGTAAGATTTTGTCGCGAGAATATTTTTCAAATAAATTGGGAAAAACGCTACTATCGGAGAAATGATTATCAGTGATCATTGAAAAGATCCCTTTCTCGGATGAGGAATTTATATATCGGGTAAATCAAGTTTCGAGGAGATGATATAGATATCTTTAATAATCATATTTAATTATTTTACATTAATAACAACTCGGTTCAGACTGATTCAAACCGACCAATCTAATTTTGCCGCGGAAATTGTGTAGCATTATTATACCTAATTAAAAATATTGAAAAAAAATAAGCCTCCTGCTTTTCTAGAATAGGAATGTATTTGAATGCACGTAAGTATGTAACATACAGGAATAATAACACGCCTTGTATAACAATTTAAGTTGTTAAATCAATTGTTTTCAAATACAATGGACTTCCTATTTTTGTTATTACAACTATTACAACAACAACAACAACAACGATAAGCATTTTTTTTAAAAAAACATTTTACACTTAATAGTGATTTTAGAACAAAGAATGTTCTTGTATTTTGCATTTCAAAATTACTGTATTTACTTTTACCGTAACTTTTACGTATTGAGCGGAATTTCCTTTTATTATAAAGTTTTGGAAACCTTATAACATTTTATGGGGAAATATCAATTTCACATGGCAAAAAAAAATCAAAACATTTTAAAGAGGTCTTGTAATACAAAAAATTCTTGAGTACCACTCATGTTCTTTGTTTGTGTTACTAAGATGTAACGATCAAAACAGTGCATAACCAACAATACCAAATTCATAAATCAAGGTAAACCAATATTAGAACTAAAAAGTTTCTAAAAAACTTTTATTCAACTATTACAAAAATGGTCCATATAATGGCAATTGATTGAATAAGTACATACAGTACAAGTTATCAAATATCACATTTAAATAGTTATTGTGTACGTATATGTAAATAATTAATCGTTATTATATCAGTATATAGTTATGCAGACTCTTAGTGATATATCAATTTATTCAATCAAATGCTTATATACTATCATGAGTAAAGATTTAATACGTAGCACTATACAGAAAAATTTATATGTTGTAATTTATGAAAGAAGCACAAATATATTAGTGAAGATAATAATAACATAATACAGTATATAATTTTTACAGGGGGGAAAAAAAAATAGATTTTTTGGGCGTTCTGAAATAACCGTGGTTGGTGGGTAACAACTAGTTCAACCAGTTCACACGCCACTCGGTACTTCATAGGCCCACAAAAGAGGTAACATTGAAATAAGTAAAAAATAATATGCAAAATAATGATGATGTAAAAAAAATATGAAAAATATGAAAAAAATTTACAAGAAATATTGTAATGAAAAATTTGTCTCATTATTGCAATTGTGTACCTCTTTTCTTTTCTTTTTTTTTTTCTAAAAAAAAAAAAGCCCCAATATTTAGAATGAGAATCTGAAATTCTCATTTTTTATTAGTTGACAAAGTTTTTAATTCATTTAGATGATCAGATAATCGATTTTGTAACTTTTTTAAATGATCAATTAAATTTGGCATTATTTCAAGACTAATTCTAATATTCTCTTTACGTTTTGTGCTTCCTTTATTATATCCACCATTACTACTACTTTCACCATTTGCTAACTTTTGTTTTTTAGCACTATGAGTGTGGCCAGCACTGTTCAATGATGAATCGGTGTAGTTATTATCATTAAAATTTTCTTTGTCATCATCAAGGAATATCACGTTCCGAGCATCTTCACCTAACTCTTCTAAAATAATTTTTTTAAACACTTGAGCATGTCGTTCCGAAGGTATTCGCTCGATATCAACTTTAACACTTTCATCATTAGATGAAGAAGAAGATTGTTTATCTTGAGCTACATCAGAAAGATCAATTATTACTTTTGCTTCTTCCCAATCTTGCTTGAATAAATTTTCTAAATTCTTATATTTTCTCATTGTTGATCGATTAAAAGCAGTTTTCCATTTTCTGCCCATCTTGGAGTGAATCGTTGATGTAAAATCCAATTTTTTATTCTGTAATATTTTCAATTCTATATATTATTATAATAAAAATAATAATAATATTAATTAATATTAGAAAAAAAGAAATGTTTTAGAGAATTTCAAAAATAAAAAAAAAATTTTATTACCTTCAACTTGAGAAGCAAAATCACGGATATTAGATATATCCATTCTCAGAGATGACTGAGCTTCTTTAACAGAATAAGGAACATTTATTTCATTACTATCCAAATCAAAATCATCATCCCAACTTTCGCTAGGAGCGGCTATAAAAAAAACGATTTAATAAGATTAATATAATAGAGTGCACGTGGAATGATCACATGATATATATACATACGTCTTCGATGACTTCCTCTCCTTAGAATAGATGTTGAAGGAGCAGATTCACAACGACTATGTTGCAACTTTCGTAAAGATTTTGATCGAGAAGAGTCATAAGCTCCAATAATGGTAGTATCCCAATCTTCTTCATCTTCGGACTCAGCGTTTATAATTGAAGAATTGAAATTTTCCGGAGAAATTTGCACAGGAATCGCTTTACCAAGAGAGCGGATACTTGTAGCGTCAGAACAAATTGGAGTCTTATCATCAGTGGATAAACGACAAACCATCATAGGTGGATTAGTTTTTAAAACGGCCAAATTTTTATTTTTTTTGTTTTTTGAGCAAAATAATTTAAATCGTTCAAGTGGATATTTAGATGAATTTAAAAAAGATTTTGAAAGTAATAACATTCGTGAAAGACTGTTTGGTTTAGGACGACGAGTCAAAACATAACCCAAGCCAGGAGTTGAAATCGAAGCAGTAGAAGAAATTACTAGCTGTTTTTTTTTTTTAAAAAAAAAAAAAAAGAAAAATAGACAAAAAAAAAAATATTCAAATGGTCAGTGGTTTTTATAATTGGTATAAAAAAAGAAAAAGTTTGTGAAATTTGTATCATATGTGCATGCAGTAAGTGAAAATATTTAGTTGCCTTCAGGAGATAAAGTTGACCTCCATTAGTATTTTAGCATAAACTCACCGAACTAATAACATGAACTTGTGACGACATGATAAAAAAAGAAGTTACATAACATAACAGATATGACACAGTCAACTCTTCATATAACGAACATTATATAATAATTTGGCGGTTATTATATTTATGCAGAACTTTAAAGTCCGTTATAAAGAGAGCCGACTGCACATATGTTAATAAATTAACGTAGGCAAAAAACGCCGAGGCGTCTTTTTTTTTTTGGAACAAAAGAAAACGAAATTTCGTGGATAGTTAAATACGCATTTATATAGAGAAATTAATTATATAAAAAAGAATAACTTTTTTTTTTAAGAGAAATAAAAATGTCGATAAAAAGAATTTGGAGATCTGAAGATGATTTTCTTATTAGTGTCAATATTATTTCGATTAGGGTTGAAGAATTAGTTTGTTTTTTGATATACTAGACATATACGGAGGGATTAACGAAGGCTTATTCATGATTTTTTCTTAATATAAATTCGCTTACGTACATGCCCCAAAAAAAAGATAAATAAAGAAATGACAATTTCACACGAAGTTTTGAATTCTTACCGTGATAAGTAGTAAACGTAAAGTTCTTTAAATATTAGCGTTTTGCGCATCCAGACATAAAAGGAAAAGATTCGGTAAATTTTATAAAAAGAAGAAAAACGCTACGAGAAAAAAAAAGTATAAGCAAAAAAAAAAAAAAAACGAGAAAAATAACGAAAAAAATTAAAGATGAGAAGAGATATAAATAGTATTTCGAAAGGAAGGATCGAAATTTTAAATATAGAAAACGGCTGTCTTGAAGACTGACGTATCCGAAAAAAAACAAGAAACAACCAAGAAAACTTTTATTTTATACAAATATGTAAAATAAATTAAATTATATATTGGTGATATTTAAGATTTAGTATTTTATTATCACATACAAAAAAAATGGTTATACGTAGTAGTGAGTGACTGATTCGCATACATATTACTAATAAATTATTATTGGATATCAAAATATGCAAGATTATTAGAATGTATGCGGTATATGTTAGTACGAAGTGACGAATCATTCTTGTTGTTTAGAATGTCAGCTAGAAAACTTAATTGTAATTTAACAATCTTGAATGAATGAATAAAGTGTGAATGCTGCAGTTGATTCTTTAAGGGATTTAACAAAAATCAAAGTTGGTACAATAAAACAATGTAAAGAAATATTTTTAATCAATAGTTACAGAATTTCGATGTGTGAATTGTAGGGATGTGGAATGTGTGAATTGTGAATTGTAAATAACGATAAAAGAACGTGTGAAACATTAGTGAATGATGAGAAAGAAAACTGCTAATATGTTAAATACTTAAACTTTGGTTAACAATGAAACCTGAAAACATTAAACAGAAAAACACATAACCATTATGTAGGGGGATTCCTTTGTCTTTTCCGTTAACTCTATAATGAGTATAAAATAGGAATCTAGATTCTTGGAACTATTTTTCGAGCGAACTATTTTCATTATATTAGCAAACGTAAATTATGAATTACTATTCATGTCACCTATTATTCATTTCTGATTTGGATAAATATAGATTAAAAGAAGGATGTTCTACGTTCTAGGCGCATATGTCAAAAAAAATATTTCAAAACTTTGAAATTTACCCCGCAATAAACCTGTAGTATAATTCCACAATACAAATATACACTTCCGATGAGCATTGACGCGTAGGTACCGATTACAAACGCGCTTGTAAGAGCTGAATTTCTTATAGGTAAAAAACATCCTATATACCAGTTATTAATTTAGATACATCGATTTACAGTAAATACATTAATTTTAGGTACAGTACATCAGTTTAGGTATGTCGATTAAGATATATAGTATATAATTTAATTCTTTGATAATAAAGCATTATTATTGGGTATAACTTATCAAATGAAAGACCTTGCATATAATGTTAATATATATTTATTATTATTTATTATTCGTAAATTAACGACAAATAATAAAATGCATAATTGTTTTTTTTTATTTTTATTTTTTATTTGCCAGTAAAGGAAGGGCAAATATTTGTGATTAGAACTCAATCTGACCATCAATATTTTGTACAGCGTTATACATTGTAAATGCATATGTAAAATTGAATAATAATAACTATATAATAATAATAATAATAATAATAATAATAATAAATATATATATTTGAATTTTAGCAAATCTTCACGAAAGCGAGCGTTTATGATCCTAGACTGTTTATCAGAGTAGATCAAAATGTGACTCACGGAATTTCTTTCTTTAGAATGATGATGATAAAAATATCACGTTTCGGGCGTTTAAAGCAAATTCTATTAAGTCATAAATTTCATAATGAAACTCTATTAAGGTTATGAGATGAAATTTGTTATAACAAAAAAATTATCAATTGCGTCATAGAGATATCAAATCAATTCTTATAATGACACGTATAATAAAAAAAAATGATATACGTGATAACAAGATTTCATTCATGGCTTTAATCATTGACTTGTATGTTTACAATAGTTGGCAAACTATATTGTTGAAAAACAAATAACGATCACGATGTAATATATTAATATATATATATTATATTATTAACAAATATCTACATACATACATTAATACATTTGTGAGATCAAGGGAAAACCCGGAAATTATCATCCACGTTTTCTTTGTATCCAAAGATGATAACAATTTAATATACAGTAATTTATATATTAACATACAGTAAAAATTATACATCTGAGTGTTATCAAGAGAAACCTGAAAATCTAATCCACGTTTTTCTTTGCATCATTCATTTATCGTTATCATGAGATAACGATGTAATATTATTTATATTAACGTTAATAACAAATAAATACATTCAGTAAAAAACCAATTTATAATTAATTATACATTTGAGTATAATTAAGGAAAAACCCTAATCATCCATGTTTTTCTTTTGACATCATTCATTTATCATGAGATTAAAAGATCTGTATTTTAACAAACTAAACCCCTAAAAGATCATTTAGTTTCGAAAGTTCTCTATTGAAATTTATAGAATTATAAATTTTTAGAATAATAATTACTGTATCGGTATTTATTTAATATTATGAACTTTATAAATCTCGGTTAAGATTATTACATTTCATGATATATATTATATCTTAAAACTAAGTTCCAAAACTGAGTTTAAAATTAACTTCATGTTTGAATGTAATCAATTTGTTTAAATGGATAAATTGTAGCATTAATTGTTTGCATCCATTTAGCCCCTCAGAGAAAGAGAAGTAAGGACTTTTATTAACTTTAATATTATTAAGGGACAAGAAAGCCCTCCCAGTTGATAAAATATTAATGTGTTAAAGAAAATTATGAAGTCATCACGCTCCTTCAATAGGTATTGATGTTGCATAGAATATTCACGATTAAACCAGAAAAAAAAAAGGAGAATAAATAATTAAAAATTCATTAGATTTGCAAAGTTCTTAAGCCAGGAAAAAATCAATTTGGTATAGTTTGGGCGCAAGTATTCTTGCCAGGGATAAAACTAAATGTTCATACTGTATATATATATGTATTATCATATGCAATCTGCTGAAATCCCTGTGCAATTAATTATTAGCATTAAGTGCGAATGTTTAACTAAATTTATTACAAAATCGGAAATGCGCTACATAATAAGCTTTTTAATTTATTTACTGTATCAATTAATTAATGATTAATTAATAATAATTAATTCGTATATAATTATACGTATAATGTAATCTTTTATGTTATACGTATCAACATAATATATGGCTACGTATAATTTTTGTTCAAGTTTATGTAACTATCACTTAAACCGTCACATTATCATCGTGAAACTGCAAGCAAATTTGTCTGCAAGACGGTTTAACGTTAAAGGACAAGTTATATATTGATGGAATTACAATAATACTTTGCTAAACTCTTGATGCGTATTTTGCATTTATTACATGAAATCTAATTTACAAAAATCGAATATAACTTGATTATATAAATTAAATTTATGTAACAAATAATTTTGTAAAATAAAATCATAATAATATTTATTATATCCTCTAATTTTGTGCGATGACAGTTTTTTTCTAATTACCATTTATTACTATTTTGATTCCCATGTTTTTTTTTTTTTTTTAATAATGTATATATTTTGTTAAAACCACCAAGAAAAATTTCTTGGTTTTAGGTTTGTAATAGAATTTTTCGATGCAATTTGTGCTTGTAATTTTTTATTTCAGATTTTATTAATACATATTCTTTAGGTTAATATTCATGTGTTTATTGGTTTTATAAATACGTATGTACATAAGTACGCACGTACGTATGTATTTCATTTTTAACTCATTCATAATATGTCGTGAGATATTTAAAAAAAATTTCGGTCTAGCAGATCCTTTCTAGCGCTAGATCGAATGACCAATATTTATCTGCTATTTCAACTCTTCCCCACAACTCTTTCGTTAATATCTATACAGACTCCCAATCCGTAATCTCTAAATATAACAAACTTATTTCAAACTATCACTTTTTCTCTAAATCTCTTAAGTTCAACTCTTGGCCTATTTGGCATATACTTCTTAATTTACTTAAAGCATA